ATAAGCCTGGATCAGAATGGGCTTAGCAGGAGTCTAGATCTAAATGGCGCTTGACTTGAGTCTAGATCAGAAAGGGGTTTGTCTTAAGCCTGGATCAGAATGGGGCTTAGGATGAGTCTAGATCCAAATGGGGCTTGACTTGAGACTAGATCAGAAAGGGGTTTGTCATAAGCCTGGATCAGAATGGGGCTTAGCATGAGTCTAGATCCAAATGGCCGCTTGACTTGAGTCTAGATCAGAAAAGGGTTTGTCTTAAGCCTGGATCAGAATGGGGCTTAGCTTGAGTCTAGATCCAAATGGGGTTTGACTTGAGTCTAGATCAGAATGGGGTTTGTCATAAGTCTGGATCAGAATGGGGCTTAGCACGAGTCTAGATCCAAATGGCGCTTGACTTGAGTCTAGATCAGAAAGGGGTTTGTCATAAGGGGCTTAGCATGAGTCTAGATCCAAATGGGGCTTGACTTGAGTCTAGATCAGAAAGGGGTTTGTCATAAGCCTGGATCAGAATGGGGCTTAGCATGAGTCTAGATCTGAATGGGGCTTGGCAAGGTCTAGATCAGAATGACGAATATTAGAGAACAAAATGGGGCCAAAAACTTGACAGATATATATGGTTGTGATATATACATCAGTTTGTCTGTATTCAATGTAAACTGTTGATAAGTCAATCTGATGAGTTCCAGTGTCTGTTTAAAGATTCATACCTGTCAAAATCCGACAAGGCCCAGACATCATTTTAAATTTCTATCTGACAGCCAATCTGTTTCAATATTATCAGCATCACACATTATACAATGTAGCTTCATTCCAGTCAAATAATTGTATTAAAAAAGCCACCTCAACACACTCTGAGAACACCCAGAATTAGAAACGCAATTATAAACAGAGGTGGTCTCTTAACAGAGGTGGTCTCTTAACACAATTGACCTTTAAACAGAGGTAGCCTCTTTACAAAAAAGGTCTTTTTACAGAGGTTGTGTCCAAAAGATTGTAGTGTAAAAGATCATGATGTTATAGCCTGTCACTGATTTTTTTCAATATTCTTCAGTTTTTCTATGGCTTTCAGTATTTCACAGTAATACTGAATCACATGTACAATGTACAATTACAGAAAATTCACAACAGTTATGATCATTAAATGATCAGTCAGCCATAGGTTCGTTTTTCATTAATCTTTTAATATTTTATTAAATTTTCTACCCAAAACAAATAACAAAACACACCCTAAGTTTATGATTTTTTATGATGAACATAGCACCTTGTTTCTTCAAAATACAATACATTATAAATTGTACATATTGGTTGTCAGTCCATACAATATCCAAATTCTCACCACACACTTACTGTTCTCACAACATCCAAATTTTCACCACACTTACTGTTCTCACAACATCCAAATTCTTACCATACAGCAAGTGTTCGCACAACATCCAAATTCTTACCATACAGTTACATCCAAATTCCCAACATACAGCAACTGTCTGCACATTCAAATCATATACATACTATATCTACATCTCCAAACACACCACAGATCCACCACTCCTCAAAATACACTCGACGCCATTAACAATTTTTGCTTCAAGGACACATATTTGTTAAATCTTAAAATCAAATCAGTTATTATTCCTGGTACATTTCACAAGTAAGTTTATGTCATTTTACAGTAGATAAAATTTCTATATAAATGAAGTGTTAAAAATTCACAACAAAAATAATGTCTAATTAGTTCAAATGCTATAAATAGACACAGCTACCATTTCTTTTAAAACATTGTGAACAAACTAAATACTGGATGTGAAAGACAATTTGAAAGACTTTCATACTTCAGGATCAATTGCTTAGGACTGAAATATCAAATCAATACTCCTTTAATTTCCACATGCATGATATCAAAATAGATCTTGAATCAAGTTAGCTTCAAGTCATTTTTTTTTTTTCAAGATGACTGAAATTAATAATACCTAGGTATGTAATATAGGTTTAACAAAATCTATCCTTAGGAAAACAATTTCTCGTGAACTATTTATACCGACACAACTCTCACACAACCACACTCTTCCAAACAGACTAGAATCAATTTAATAAATATGAATTTTCATTAGTTCTAATGAGAACTCAATAGTCATGAAATAATAATATATTAAATCAATACTAGATATACATATATATCTACATTATTGAATATGTAAGTGTTCTGTTTGTAAAATGAGATAAATAAAACTTTGTCGCTTGATACTTTCCTACCAATTCGATTTCTTTAAATTTAAAAATTGCTTTTTTTTTTTAGTTTCATTTCAGTAACACATTTTACTCTTAAACAAACCAAAATAAATTCTAATATTTTCTGATGTTTGTTTTATTTTGCCATTTTACAAATGAATTGAAAAACATGAAAACATAACATTACAGTGTAAATAATAAGGTATGTTAAAAAAAAATATAATAAAAATCAACAAGATTTTCACCACTTTTTTTAAGTGAAAGAAGACTAAATATTTTATATCAGCATCAATCTCATATTGGATGGAATTCTGAAGAATTTTTTTTTCTCAAAAATTCAAATATTGATGTCAAGAAATATGAACTGCCTTACCATATGTTAGCGTCAAGAAATATCTCATAAATATGTTACATGTGCAATGAATATTTGTATTAAAAAAACTCGACCATTCCTGCTGCACATGCATTGTCTGGGTACTGTATACATCACAGGAAGACAAAAACATCTAGAAACAAAAGAAATGACAAGACGTTGAGATGGGAATGTATTAAGATTGATGATATATGGCACCTGTGTTCCATACAGAGATTCTGATATGATTCCATTTGATTACACACTATGTATACCACACATGGTAGCGTGATAAAGGATACAGGGGGGAGGGGAGGGGGATACCAGACAAATCTTTTTATACAACTACATACTGAATCAGCTGGGCTAATACTTAGTGGGAGGAATTTAAGGGAAGTTAAGGGAGGGAGTATATAAGGAAGGATGGGGAGAAAGTACAGGGGTGGAGGGGAGAAGGAATAGGTGGAAGACAGGAAAGGAAGTATAGGGGAAAGGAAGAAGAGGAAGTAAATGAGTGAAGGGGAGGAGGTATAGGAGTGAAGGGGAGAAAGTATAGGTGGAAGACAGGAAAGGAAGTTTAGGAGGAAGGAAGAAGAGGAAGTATAGGAGTGAAGGGGAGGAAGTGAAGGAAGGAGTGAAGGAAGGAAGTGGAAGAGAAATTAAAGAGTACTGGACATTTACTTAAGATCATCATTCCATGGATGGAGAAAGAATGTCACATTCTACCTACTACTGTCATCATAATTCATTGATCAGAAGGATAACACTTCATTGTAGAACTGGTTGAAGTATGGGAAAGGGAAAAGGGGGTGGGTGGAAGTAGGGGTGTAGGGGTAGGGGGTAAGGGACCAGAGGAAAACTCGTGTGGGGGTAGGGGGTAAGGGACCAGAGGAAAACTCGCTTACAAAATTCTAGGATAAGAATGGAGATGACAAAAAGACCATGAATTCACAACTCAAAAGTGGAGAAAATATCAATACATGTCTCAATGATCTACGAGTTAAAAATGTAACACTTTTATGAACCACATAGTTTATAATTTGTCCCTATGGCCATGATTACAAAGGGAAATTAGTGTTCGATGTTTTTATAGACATATTGAAATGCCCGATAAAGATTTGTATACCATCCTACCAACATAATTTGTAATATCAAACTACCGCTCCATGTCAGATTTTTATTTTCTTTTTCTCGTTTTTAATTTCCTCTACAGATTGTGTTGATTCAATATTAGATACAGACATCACAGAAAACATTAATTAATCGAAATGTCTTGAGACGGGATCTGTTGCTATGGCAAAGATTTTTCAGGTAATCCAGTTAACAGTTAATGGTTGCTGTATTGGGTTTTCCTGAGATATAGCAGACATTTCTTAGACTGCCCTCTTCCCCTCCATCCTACCTCTCCTCCTTGACAAGAGGGCGTTTCTTAGACTGCCCTCTTCCCCTCCATCCTACCCCTCCATCCTACCCCTCCTCCTTTACAAGAGGACTTTTCTTAGACTGTCCTCTCCCCCTCCATCCTACCCCTCCTCCTTGACAAGAGGACTTTTCTTAGACTGCCCTCTCCCCCTCCATCCTACCTCTCCTCCTTGACAAGAGGACTTTCCTTAGACTGCCCTCTCCCCCTCCATTCTACCCTCCTCCTTGACAAGAGGACTCCTTAGACTGCCCTCTACCCCTCCACGCTACCCCTCCTCCTTGACAAGAGGGCATTTCTTAGACTGGCCCTTTTCCCCTCCATCCTACCCCTCCTCCTTGACAAGAGGGCATTTCTTAGACTGCCCTCTTCCCCTCCACGCTACCCCTCCTCCTTGACAAGAGGGCGTTTCTAAGACTGCCCTCTTCCCCTCCACGCTACCCCTCCTCCTTGACAAGAGGGCATTTCTTAGACTGCCCTCTTCCCCTCCACGCTACCCCTCCTCCTTGACAAGAGGACTCCTTAGACTGCCCTCTACCCCTCCACGCTACCCCTCCTCCTTGACAAGAGGGCATTTCTTAGACTGGCCCTTTTCCCCTCCATCCTACCCCTCCTCCTTGACAAGAGGGCATTTCTTAGACTGCCCTCTTCCCCTCCACGCTACCCCTCCTCCTTGACAAGAGGGCGTTTCTAAGACTGCCCTCTTCCCCTCCACGCTACCCCTCCTCCTTGACAAGAGGGCATTTCTTAGACTGCCCTCTTCCCCTCCACGCTACCCCTCCTCCTTGACAAGAGGACTCCTTAGACTGCCCTCTACCCCTCCACGCTACCCCTCCTCCTTGACAAGAGGGCATTTCTTAGACTGGCCCTTTTCCCCTCCATCCTACCCCTCCTCCTTGACAAGAGGGCATTTCTTAGACTGCCCTCTTCCCCTCCACGCTACCCCTCCTCCTTGACAAGAGGGCGTTTCTAAGACTGCCCTCTTCCCCTCCACGCTACCCCTCCTCCTTGACAAGAGGGCATTTCTAAGACTGCCCTCTTCCCTCCATGCTACCCCTCTTCCTTGACAATGATAATAAAGGTTCATTTTATACAACATCAATAAAACTATGTAAAATGATGGAAGATAAAACGCTAGGATCTGATGACCTCTTCATCAATAAAATTACTGATAACACTTTCTGTTACTCACATCGTTTACATTTATTCATGGTAATGTATGGTAATCATAAACAAACCAATGGTCCTATGTCATACATCATTAATAATCATACTTAGAAAAAATACTATATCAATATTTGTTTTTCAAAAATGACCAGAGTGAATATTGCAAAAAGGCCCCATTAGTCAGTATTATGGATAATCTCTTGATCTCATCATTATCATCATCTTTAGATATCATCAATAATAAAATATACAATGAAGTCTTAAAAGTTCCCTTTTATTTTGCAGTCGAAGGACATAACACCACTTCATTTCCAACTCAGACATAAATAAATTATTTTTTTTTTTTTTAATGACAAAAATCACAGATTTCAACTTTAAAAAAGTTTTGTATTAGCTTCTCTAAAATTCCACATCAATAATATGTGAAATTTATAAATTACTTGAGGCGGTGAGAGTTAATCATTACCTAAAAAAAAATTTTTAGCGGATTGTGATAAAATTGTGTCTTGGAAAAAGATCATCCATTTTCAACAAGGAATGTGCATGGCTTCTTCTGTGAAAATGCTAAAACCATTTCAACAAGTTTCATGTCGTTCCAAGGACTAGGGCATCAAATTTTTTTGCAAAACAAAAGGTAGGTAAAGGGTTTAATCTTCTTACCTGATGACAAACAAGAAATAATGTAAAAAAATTAATCTGATTGGATCAAGAGAATATCACCATCTGTTTTATACTATGAAGTATAAATATTGGCCTTGAATCTGTCTAAGCAATCGGAGTCTGTTGACGCATGTCTACTCATGCGTTTTGTTATTAATGGTTTTCGCGTGGGTGAGCTCGGAGAACACGGAGCATCAGATGGTGATGAAAGATTTGAACTCATATCCAATGAAACCTGATTCATATCAAGTGGTAAACTGTCTCGTCTGTGATCTGATTGGTTGACATATGGGTCATGACTAGGTGATTGGTCCACAAGAAGTCGACTCTCTGCATTCGTTTCGTGTGATGATACTGGTACAACATTAGGAAGACTTTTAACACTACTTGTGTCACTTTCTACAAAACTACGTTCATACACTCTATCGAATTCCCATTCCATACTTGCAGCAAGATTGAGAGCAGACATAGGCCGCATGGTATCCGTGCCCGTTGTCCCTATACTGGTTCTCTCAAGGTCCATACTTTTGTATTGGTCAAAACAGTGACCACCGACCACCTCCTGGGGGGTCTTATTGTTGTTATTTTGAGCTTCGTTCTCAGTTCTATAGAAACCTCCATTGAGGACTCCATGTGGAATAGCACCATTTCCAACTGTCTCGTCATTTACCCTGTAACTTCTCATAGCACTTCCATTTACAAGGTCAGGAAGACTTGCTCCCAGTTCTGAATCACAACAATTCAATTCTTCATCACTACGGAATCGTACTAGGCCATCTTCTATCACAAGGTGAGAGGGACTTTCCGAAACCTGGCGATGAAAGTTTCCATTTAAATGAGGTGCATACGTCACCCGTGGTTTTAATACTGTTTCCAGTTTGACATCCTGAATACCTTTATTGAAAAATTTCATGTTTTTCTGTTTATCTTCATGTGTTTCCGACATTGCATGTCCATCAGAGTTAGCTGAAGTGTCTGTATTTTCATTTGACCCTTGAACTCCACAACTACAACAAACACGCTTAAAGGGCATTAAATACAACCAACACTGACTCTCCTGTTCTCGTCGTCGGTATTTCAGTGGCTGTGATGCCACATACACCATAGTGGCACACATAAGCAGTTCCATTAGCCTCAGTAAGAACTTGTATGCATACCAGGGCCAGGCCTCTGGGGTGTGCCCATTCTTTAATAATTTAAACACACCAAAAATTCCATACAATTCCAATGCAACGCACATTAATCCAAAGACTGCTGCCACAAAAGTCACTTTAATTGAAAGACTGATGGTGTACTTTGATGTTGATTTCTTTCTTGTACGCTCTGTCACAGAAGAATTCCCAGTGGAGAGTGTCTGTTGGATCATGGTTTTCTGTCGCTTGATGGCGGCACTATACAGCCGCCGGAATAAGTAGAAATATCCTACAAACAGCACTATGCCCCATGCTACATAAAAAAATTGACACACCAATAGTAGCACACGAGCTTCCGAAAATATTCCTACAATAACATCTGTGATCAGAGACAGGGCGAAATGAAACAATATAATTCCAACTAGCACAGACAGCTTCTGAATCTTGGGTGAAATCACCTGCATTTTTGTGGCAATCAGCAATGCATAAAACAGAATACTGAATGCAGATGTGAGGCATGGAAATGCAGTGCTGTAGAGGAAATAGTCCACAATATTGTGGAATGTGTTATTGATGTTGTGTGCATCCACCAGCAGGTACGATCCTCTCAATGTACACTTGATGATGATTAGGATGTTAAGAGTGACAAAATAGTTTTTACTGAGGAGGTGGTTCATGCTCCACAGCCTGATCACACTCAGAAGACTGAACAAGGCCAAAAGTAGAAACAGGATTCCAAAGAAATAAACGAAGAAGTACCAGCCCCACTGCCATAACTCCATAGCAGCCTCCCAGTCTGGCCGTGGTTCAGAAAACACTGACAGTTCCCCTTCTGGTTCTGGTTCACTATCTGGTTCACTTTCTGGTTCAGGCTCAGATGTAGAGTTTAAGCTGGTTTCAGGAGTTGCTTCTGGCTCTGCTGTGACAGAAGGTTCGGGTGTTGCAGAAGGTTCAGGTGTTGCAGAAGGTTCAGGTGTTGCAGAGGGTTCAGGTGTTGCAGAGGGTTCTGGTGTGGCAGAGGGTTCAGGTGTGGCAGAAGGTTCAGGTGTGGCAGAAGGTTCTGGTGTGGCAGAGGGTTCAGGAGTGGCAGAAGGTTCAGGTGTGGCAGAGGGTTCAGGTGTGGCAGAAGGTTCTGGTGTGGCAGAAGGTTCAGGTGTGGCAGAAGGTTCAGGTGTAGCAGAGGGTTCAGGTGTGGTGGAAGGTTCAGGTGTGGCAGAAGGTTCAGGTATTGCAGAAGGTTCAGGTGTTGCAGAAGGTTCAGGTTCAGGTGTGGCAGAAGGTTCAGGTTCAGGTGTGGCAGAAGGAACAGATGTGGCTGAAGGTTCAGGAGTAACAGAAGGTTCAGGTGTGGCAGAAGGTTCAAGTGTAGTGAAAGGTTCAGGTGTTACAGAAGGTTCAGGTGTGGTAGAAGGTTCAGGTTCAGGTGTGACTAAAGGTTCAGAAGTAACAGAAGGTTCAGATGTGGCAGAAGGTTCAGAGGTAACAGAAGGTTTAGGTGTGGCAGAAGGTTCAGAGGTAACAGAAGGTTCAGGTGTGGCTGAGGGTTCAGAGGTAACAGAAGGTTCAGGTGTGAAAGGTTCAGGTGTGGCAGTTATTTCAAGATTGATATATGGCTCTGATGTTGTGGTTGGTTCTAGGGTTGTGGTTGGTCCTGGGGTTGTGGTTGGTTCTAGGGTTGTGGTTGGTTCTGGTGTTGTGGTTGGTTCTGGGGTTGTGGTTGGTTCTGGTGTTGTGGTTGGTTCTAGGGTTGTGGTTGGTTCTGGTGTTGTGGTTGGTTCTAGGGTTGTGGTTGGTTCTGGTGTTGTGGTTGGTTCTGGGGTTGTGGTTGGTCCTGGGGTTGTGGTTGGTTCTGTTGTTGTGGTTGGTTCTGGTGTTGTAGTTGGTTTTGGTGTTGTTAATGGTTCTGGGGTTGTGGTTGGTTCTGGGGTTGTTGATGGTTCTGTGGTTGTGGTTGGCATTGGGGTTGTGGTTGTTTTTGATGTTGTTGATTTAGGAGTTATGGGTTCTGCAGATGTTGATTTTAGAAGTGTGGATTGTGGAGTTGTAAATTTTGGAACTGTAAGTTTTAGGATGGAAGATGGCTCTGTTGTAGAGATTTGTGATGGTGTAAGAGGGTCCTGAGTAATTGGATGTGGTGTTGTAGTAATATCAAGTGTAGTAACAGGCTTGCTTGAGGTTGTTAGTCCAGACAAGGATTCGGGTGTGGTGTTCACTACAACACCCGAACCTTCTACAACAGTCAAATCCTCATTATCCTTCACTGTCTGATGATTGATCAAACTAGTAAAACTTTCTGAAGTTAAGTCCCCTGAAAAACTCTCCTGTGTTGTAGTTTGTGAGAAACTGGGGACAATGTTGGAAGGAGTAACCTCCCCTACTTCTCTAATAACACGTTTCTTGCTGCTATTACCATCCTTGATAACCTGATGACTTGTACGTGAATCAATAGGACTGTTCATCCCCTGAACTAATCTGTGGCTGTCTATTTCTGCACCTAATTGAGTTTCTATCCCAACAGTCTGCAGGGAGCCCTTCTCTGGACTTTCCGTCTCATCCATTATTTTAACACTTTTTGATTTGTTCACAGAACCATTTTTCATCCATTTTAACTTCCTCCAGACATCTTTTCCAATGGTTTTATGTAACATAGGAATAGATACTGACTCTGAATTAACTTTCTCCGGGATTAAGTTTTCGCTTTCATCCAGCCACTGAAAATGGACTTGCGATGGTTGGTATGTCCTTGTTTTTTCTTCTCCATCATTTAATCGAAAGGTTTGCGTTGATGATGCAAGCACACACAAGATGGCTATGATCACAACTTTAGTCACAACTAGCTGGATACAATTAAGTTCCATGATATTGAATTTAAAAGGCTCATATTTGAAATGCACACGTCATGAATATATTCTTCTGTTGTTACAAAACATTTACATGATTCTGATCACAGTCACACGTAAGTTGTAGATTCTGTTGTTTGTTTTTCCTTCTTGCTACATCTGCGGTTATTGCAGTCTTGTCCTCAGATCGTTGAAATTGTGGTTATCACTCACAACCTATAAAGAAAAAAAAATTCATCAGAAATATTGACTACTCTGTATGAAATTGTACACACTTTCCTATATTACTTTGACAAATGATAAGATTTTAAGACGTTTCCTTTATCATGACAGACGATGCTTTCATGGATTATTTCAACATAAAGCAAGACTACAACCCATTATAAACATACAAGCAAATTAACATTTCTGTCAAATACCAAATCACTAGATAAATCTTGTAATTTTCTAAGCAAGTCATGAGAATGTTTTAAACCTGTGAATAATCACTTCTGTTAGGTAAGCCTCCAGATACTCATTATGTTATGCTACAGATCATTACAAGCACCATGATGATGAGATTTCATTTATTTTTGTAAGAATTCATTTAAATCAGGCTTTATTTTGAATTTACTATATTTATCCTGCAGTTACCCCAGGGTTCAAACATAAAACATAAGAGAATGGGCTTATTACTGGACATAACAATTTCTAAAATTTTTATCAAACAGCAATAAATATTGGACCAATTGCCAGACATGGGCTTATTACCAGGCATGGGCCTTTTACTAGACATGGGCTAATTACCAAGCATGGGTTTATGAAAAGACATAGCCTTATTACAAGACATGGGCTTATTACCAGGCACAGGTCTTTTACTAGAAATGGGCTTCTTACCAGGTATGGGCTTATTATAAGACATGACCTTATTACAAGGCATGTGCCTTTTACTAGATATGGGCTTATTACCAAGAATGGGCTTATTTCAAGGCATGACCTTATTACAAGGCATTAACTTATTACCAGGCACAGGCCTTTTACTAGACATGGGCTTATCACCAGACATGGACTTATTACCAGGTATGTGTTTATTACCAGGCATGGGATTTTCACCTGACCTGGGCTTATTACCAAGCATGGGGTCATTGCCTGGTCAAAGTGGTAAAATCTAATCGACAATTTCACATCTCTCAGTTGGAGCCTAACATCCACCCGAAACTGACAATTGTGTTACATCATAATAAGACTATTCCTTACCTCATTTAATCACAAAAGTTATAATATTTGACAAAATCTGTTACAAATTTCCATGACAATCAAACATTTCTGCATCACTATATCTATACATATTGATCTTAAAGATTAGAATTTTTTTCTAGCAATCAAAAGTCTGCGTCAAACCTCAAAAGCATTACATCACTTTAAACATTACGGCACCTCTCATGGCTAGAAATTCTAAATTGAATATTAGCGTCTTCAAAAACATAAAAACACATTATCAACTATCTGGATTTAGGCAAAATGCATCTTTAAGCATGCAACCTGTTTTCATCAACAAGAAATAATTGAAAGTTATTTAGATCCTACCCATTCATGACCAATTTATTGAATGTTTCTTGTTGAAATACTGTATTTCATACAAAAAAAACATACACAATAAATTGCACTTCAGACTTGACAGATCAAAGCAAGTTTTCTATATTGATTTCTAAAGGATGATAATCTAAAATACTAAAACAATTTTCCCTGTACAAATTAAAAAAAAAAAAAATGAAAACCAATTCCATTTTCAATTTTTGGCTAATAATTTTCCTGTTCAACATTACTTACTGACACCTGTATAAATCAAACCTACAAACTAGGTCCCACTGTATACATTTCTATATAACCCTGTATAATCTGGACACCTGTATAATCTGGACACCTGTATAAACCAGACTTATAACGAGGTCCCTTTGTATACATTTCTATATAACCCTGTGTAATCTGGACACCTGTATAATCTGGACACCTGTATAAACCAGACTTATAACGAGGTCCCACTGTATACATTTCTATATAACCCTGTGTAATCTGGACACCTGTATAATCTGGACACCTGTATAAACCAGACTTATAACGAGGTCCCACTGTATACATTTCTATATAACCCTGTATAATCTGGACACCTGTGTAATCTGGACACCTGTATAAACCAGACTTATAACGAGGTCCCACTCTATACATTTCTATATAACCCTGTATAATCTGGACACCTGTATAATCTGGACACCTGTATAAACCAGACATTCAAGAAGGTCCAAATGTATATACATTTTCATACAGTGCCCTTTTAAATCTGGACACCTGAATTATCTGTACACACAGTAAATAAAATCTAAATAAGTTATTTAAGACAGGTTTCACAGTGACTGTAATAAATATGGGTGAAAACTATGATTTAATGAAACCTGTTTTTTTTCTTCTTTTTTTTAAACTATCTTCATGATATGAAGCAGATATCTTGTATGATATAGTTTTGATTCAAAATATATAGCTTAAATTTCAAGCAAAACCTGTCAATCTTCATACATTATATAGCCACAATCTTTAGGTTAGCATCTAAGATACACAGACCTCGAAGGCGACATCAAGTTGTCTTTTACAGCTCATCAGTGGTGCAATGTTCAGCGAAATCCTTAATTCACATACTCATTAAATTCACAAAATCAGACATATATCAATAAAGTGTCTCTGATTCACAAATTCCATTCAACAATTAAATATTCCACAGTTAGTATCCATCCTCCAGACTGAACCACTTTCAAACTCTGACGTTTCTCATAGACTGAGGCATTGAATGAAGTTGGTCACTTTTACAAAAGCAATAACATTCAGACTATCCTTAAAGATGACATCTGTGCAAATGTTATGCTGCATGTATCACAAACAATTATACTCTAATGTCACACTGTAGTGACCTTGTCAGAATCATTCCAGTTTTACAAGGAAAGTGCATCAAGTACACTTGGAATGTAGGATAAGTCAGCAATGTTATTTTGAATACATTCCAGGCTGTGACAAGGTGACTGACATGTGGACTGATTACTGACCAGACACATGTATGTAATGTTAATTATCAATAGTTTCCCCCCAGGCCAGAGAAGTAGTGCTAACACTTTAGGTGGGTCTACAGTCATGTAGTGGCCTTGGTAATGAAAAAGATCCTGGACAGCCTGAAGGTACCACCTCTTACACTAATACACACTCAGTGTCCTGCCTAGCCCAAAGGTACCACCTCTTACACTAATACACACTCAGTGGATTTGTTTACAACAGGATCATTCAGTATAAGTACCAATTATAGAAAGTTTATTAGCCACAAAAAAGTGATAATGTTTCGGTGCATACACGGTCACCCTCATTAGAAATGCTAATGAAGGCGACCTTGTAGTCACACTCAAATCTACTTCTGGTTGTGTTATAAGAATTTCTACTGTATAGAATCCATATTGCTTAAAGCAAAACAATTAAAGGTTTGATATGCTTATTCTATAAATATGTTATCAGCTACAGACCAATATATACACCAAGTATTGCCCGACTTTGACTGACCCGAGGGACAACTGTAGGTCCTAGTGTATTGCCCCTCTCAGACTGATCAGAAAGTTTGTAGGCCTTCAGTGTATTGATACTCTCAGACTGATCAGAAAGTTTGTAGGCCTTCAGTGTATTGATACTCTCAGACTGATCAGAAAGTTTGTAGGCCTTCAGTGTATTGATACTCTCAGACTGATCAGAAAGTTTGTAGGCCTTCAGTGTAATGATACTCTCAGACTGATCAGAAAGTTTGTAGGCCTTCAGTGTATTGATACTCTCAGACTGATCAGAAAGTTTGTAGGCCTTCAGTGTAATGATACTCTCAGACTGATCAGAAAGTTTGTAGGCCTTCAGTGTATTGATACTCTCAGACTGATCAGAAAGTTTGTAGGCCTTCAGTGTAATGATACTCTCAGACTGATCAGAAAGTTTGTAGGCCTTCAGTGTATTGATACTCTCAGACTGATCAGAAAGTTTGTAGGCCTTCAGTGTATTGATACTCTCAGACTGATCAGAAAGTTTGTAGGCCTTCAGTGTAATGATACTCTCAGACTGATCAGAAAGTTTGTAGGCCTTCAGTGTATTGATACTCTCAGACTGATCAGAAAGTTTGTAGGCCTTCAGTGTATTGATACTCTCAGACTGATCAGAAAGTTTGTAGGCCTTCAGTGTATTGATACTCTCAGACTGATCAGAAAGTTTGTAGGCCTTCAGTGTATTGATACTCTCAGACTGATCAGAAAGTTTGTAGGCCTTCAGTGTATTGTCCTACTCAGATATAATAGCAAGTTTGTAGGCCTTCAGTGTATTGATACTCTCAGACTGATCAGAAAGTTTGTAGGCCTTCAGTGTATTGTCCTACTCAGATATAATAGCAAGTTTGTAGGTCCCCAATATATTGCCTCTCTTGGACTAAAAATCACTGTTTGCCTCAGTGTATTACCCCACACAAGACTAAACAGGAAGTTTGTAGGCCCTAGTGTATTGCCAATCTAGAACTGACCAGGAGGTTTGTGGATCATCAGTTTTTTGTCCCATTTAAACTGATCAGGAAGTTTGTAGGCCCCATGTGTTTTGCCCTACTTGGACTGACCAAGAAGACTGCAGGCCTCAGTATATTACCCCACAAAGACTAACCAGTTTTTTGTCCCATTCAGACTGACCAGGAAGTTTGTAAGCCCCTAGTGTATTGCCCCATTCTGTTCCAGTGATGTCTGTCTGTCAGTCATCACTGTCTGGTGCAGCATTTAATAGCTGTGATTTACGAGCCAGGGAAAAAATGCATTTTGTATACTGGTCATCTTTACTTAATCATACAGCACCCTCGTATACACCTATATATAGTAGCGTCGAGATAAGCACTCTGTAATTTTGCCCAAATTTTGATCTTAAAGGAACTTTCTTTTTTTCAGAATTTGGTAATTTGGTAAACTTACAACAAATTATTGACTTTACTAGCCAGACAAATCTGAACACACCTTACAAACAGTCTAAGTAAGAAGCTGAGTGAGCTGACATGTGTCAGAGCCTCAAAAGTCTAACAGGTTTTAAATGCTTGCAGAATCATCTTGACGTGTCTTACTGACTACAAAAATTTCACTCATCTTGACGTGTCTTACTGACTACAAAATTTCACTGATTTTGATGTCTTACGGACT